TGTGTGTGTGTTTCTATCTTTCTGTCTGAGTATATGTGCGTGTCCGTCTGTGTGTGTGTGTGTGTGTGTCTCTCTGTTTGTGTGTGTCTGTGTATGTGTGGTGTGTGTGTGTGTGTGTGTATCACCTGGCAGCAGCTCTCTCTACCCAGGGCTCACTGGGCAGTGACACACAGTAGTTGTGGTCAAACCCTGGAGCTGGAACCTCCTTCAGTCGAGTCCCGATCAGAACCGGCTCCCGGAGGTCAAAGGGCGTCCCTTCCACAGCCCTCACCTCTCCTGGGTTAGGGTTAGGGTTAGGGTTAGGGTTTCCAGAGGGAGAGGCAGACTCAGCACACTCTTACCTGGTTGACTACACCTTTCCATCCTTTCCGGGCGGACGACAAACTGACCGATGTTCAGGTCGGCCGTTATAAACCAAACACCATGAACAAGTTATTCCTTGCCTGTGTCGCCTAGTGCTTGCTCATGGTGGGAATTGTTGGGTTTCTGTAGTTAACTTCAGAGTAGGTCTGACCTGCTCTGTTTGGAAAGCTGTGAGACAACTGTTGTTGTGATGTGGCGCTATAGAAATAAAATTGAATTGAATTGAACACCCTAAGTCCTCCTAAAGGCCACCTAGAAGCTCCACAGCTCCCAGGTCTGACCGGTGGCCTGTGTGGGGTCTGTATGCTGTCTAACTCCAGCCCTGTTTAACCCTTGTGTGGTGTTCATGTTGTTGTTACTCAGCCAGTGTTTGTGGTCTGATGGACCCGTTGCATTTTGTGGCTTTTAATGCCTCAAAATCAAACACTTTTATATTAAAATACTGAACAGATGTTTACCTTATCTTAACTTCTCTCTCTCTCATCCAAAATCAATTCCAGGGCCCTCTGGGCAGAAAACCTGTCGGCCATCTTGATTGGTTATAAGAAACCACTCTGGCAAAGCTGTGCCAGTGAGGCCCCGCCCCCAATTTTAGCAGATAGACAGAAAATTAGAGCAGAAAACAATGTGTGAACTCTTACTTTTGTGTTTGTACACCTGCAGTTCCCACACAAGGTTGTGTGTGTGTGTGTGTGTGTGTGTGGTTCACAGAACATTAATTTCCACACTTCTTCTAGCCCCGGGTCCAGTGGTAGGGGGGTGTACGGTGTGTGGGCATTAAATACGAATTCTGATATATGTTCTTGACAGAGAATGAGCCAAAGCCAGTGAGTCTCAGTTTGAAAAATGAATTCATTGTAAAATTTTTCTTCAAGTGAAAAGTGAAAACTGGTCCAACAGACCCGAACACCACACAAGGGTTAAGCTGAAACCTAGCTAACCTTGGAGCATTTCTCTGGGCCCAGCAGCCTTATTTTGAACAGCCTGAACAGAAACAGGCAGGTCATTTCAGCCAGGTCGTCGCCATGTGTCTATGGCTTTGACAGAACAAACTTTGTTTCTTTAAAGCAACCAAAAACACAGAAATGTGTCTAAAGCTCAAACTAAACCAAAGGACCCCTCTCGCCAGTTTATTCCTCATTTTTCCATGTTTGGAAAATGAGAAAAAGGCAGAATTTTCTGTTTCTGTTTTTCACAAGTTGAAAAAATTTCAGCTAATTCTGTCTAATAATCAAAGCAGACTACGTCCTGATATCTGCAGCATCATCCTGAGCTGCCTCATTTCATTTTCATTTAATTTTCATTTAGTTTATTTTGAAACATGATATGATTTAACAAAGTTTACATAGAATGCTTCCTAAACATGCATCATGTTTAAAAAAGGAGTATAACTTTTTATACATTTTTCTTTTTTGTATTCATCAAAAATACTTTTCTTATATTCTTTTGTGAATTGCTGGATGCTTTTACATTGTTTAATTTTTTCACTCTAACGCTAACTGATAAACTTAAGGTTCTTTTTGTTGTTCGAACACACTTAGTTTTGAAATTTAATTTTCCTCTTAGATGTATTTTCCATCTCTATCAGTAAACAATTGTTGTATGTGTGCAGGAAGTAATTTATTTCTTGCTTTATAAAGAATTTGAGCAGTTTTGAAATCGATCAGATCTACAAATTTGAGAACTCTTGAATCTAGGAATAAACAGTGAGTGTAATCTCTATAATGTTTGTTATTCGTTACTCGTATTGCTTTCTTCTGCATAATAATCAATGGTTGAATGTTTGTTTTGTTTTGTACTTCAGCACAATAGGGCTGTACCTGTAGGGATGCTGCGGTCATCTACGGGCAGGAAACTGTTTGCCCTGATGGACACCTGATGGCCGTAGATGTCCTCTTCCCCCTGGAGCCAAACAGAAAAAACACACACATCTGGACCCTTATGTCCATCCTGATAAAGTTGATCATTATTGTTAACTCATTGGCTACCAAAGACGTCTATAGAGGTCTTTTATGTTTTTAACGAGAGTGTCTGGGGGACGATCTGCTAAAGCTTGTCCGTAAATATGGGCTTCTAGACAGAGTATGTAGTAACAAATTGACCCTCTAGGGGGCAGTGCCACTTTTGATGGGAGATGAGCATAGACTGTAGGCAAATAAGAAAAAGGGAACGGTTCTATGAGAGAACATGTCGCCGGTTAGACGGGAGAAGTCCAGGAAGAACGGAATAAGGTAGAAACACACACATCTGGACCCTTAGGTCCATCCTCTAGCCCCGCCCCCCTCCTGACCACTCACCTGTCCAGCCAGGTTGAAGTAGGAGTGGTTGGTGAGGTTTATGGGGGTGGTTTTGGTGGACCGGGCCCGATACTCAGCGGTTAGTGTTTCCTCCTTATGGACGCATTTTGAGTCGGGTTATTAGTGCAAAAACTTAAATCAAAGCAGGACTATCGACCAATTAAGCATGCTCACCTGGAGAGTGTAGGTAACGGAGACGTCCACAGCCCCGGGGTAGCCCTGGTCTCCGTCTGGACTGGTCAGAGTCAGTTTCACCCCCCCCTCCACCTCCGAAGCCTCCCAGATGGCCTGTAGACGGAGTTATTTTGAGCATTTTGACTGATTTTTCTAGAGCCACAGAATAGTTTGTGCTATGACTATGTAAACACCGAACACACCAAAAGAAAGAGTAGACTCTCTTCTTTCATCTGGAAAAAAAATTCAGTTTCTACCTTATTCCGTTCTTTAGTAATCAGCAGTAGAACATAGGTTGGCTTCAACAAAAACACCAGTTTTTGACCAATAAATGGAGAAAACGAGCTCTTTGTGAAAAGATACAGTTCAAGCAGAGAAGTGTCTTTGATGCTATTTTTTGGGCTTTAGTGACACCTCAAACATCTTAAAAGTTGCATCCTTCTATAAAACGGCAAAAACAACATCTAGAAATGGTTTTAAATGACAAAATAATTTATTCACAAATACATTTATGTAAATAAATGCTCTGTAATAAAGGTTCTGAACCCCATGGTCACTTTGTCATTTTAGCTTCATATGAGTTAAGAAATGCTGCATAATTAGTGAGTTCTCCACATTTATGATAATATTTCTATATTCTGACTGACTCAAATTGTGTGTGAAGAAGGTTGACTGGTCAACTGTCCTGTCTCTGAACCCCAAACTGCCCACTGGCTGCATCTGGTGTGTAAATGTGTGTGTAAATGGTGAATTACACGCAGTGTAAATCACTTTGAGTGGTCAGAGTGACTAGAAAAGGGCTTTACAAGTGCTTTTACATTTACATTTACATTGTCTGCAGCAAAAATCTCCAAAAGTCCCAGCGTTCCGTATTCAAACCGATTGTTTTGGATTATTTAATGCATATATTCCCTCCTTTTCACCTTATTGAATCCCCTCAGGCCTCCATGGATGGCGTTGGGTCCACTGTTGATGTCCAGTTGATACTCTTTTCCCTCCACTGAGAAGCGCCCCCCCGCAATCCTGTTGGCCACGCGGCCCACCACGGCGCCCAGGTAGCGTTTGTCTGCCACATAGCCTGGAAACCAGAACCAGAAATACTTTAATAATCCCAGAGGGCTCAGGCTGCTGCTCCACCAGAGCCTGGACATTTCTGACCAGTAGGACAGGACAGAATATCAATCAATCAATCAATCAATCAATCAATCACTTTATTTTGGTAAATTGTCCACATTAAACACAAGAAACAACCAAAGAAAAAAAGAAAAGAACAATAGACAAACCCACAGTTTACCAAAAAAGCAAAGCTTATTCTTGCCTACCCTATTTTTTACCTTACAACCTACCAGGATTTCTTCAAATTCAGATTCAAGTACATAGTACATATATAGATCTACATAACAGCGTAAGATTTGATCATTTTACATTTTAAAGCTCTTTTAAAGTTCACCAAGAAAGGACATAACTTAAATTCATCATTGAAAAGACTGAAAGGGAACAGAGTTTAACTTTAAAGACGTGAAACAGGACAGAACCGGATGGAGCAGGATAGAGTAGAATAAAAAAGAAGATCATTTAATGGTATAGAACAGACCATTAGAAGTTATTATTAGAGTTATTATTAGGAATAAACTATGCTATTAGAGTCAAACTAAACTGAATAGAATAGAAAAGAATGGAACGAAACTAAACAGAATGGAAAATAATAGAGAAAACAATTGAAAGAAAATGAACGGATCAGAAGGCAATGGAATGGAAAATAATAAAATAGGATATATTGCGATAAAATCTATCAGGATAGATTAGAATATGTCGGAATAAAACAGACTAGAATATAATAGATTTGTGGTACTGATTGAAAGTAGGAGTTTTCCTTGAATCTTGATCAGATCACCTTTTTGCACGTTAAATCTCTGTATACTGGTTTCTGTCACCAATGTGTTTGTCTTTGTATATTTCATATTTCGATATTTTGATCTGTTTTTATTCTGTAAAACACTTTGGCCAGCTCCGGTTGTTGTAAAGTGCTATATAACCTCTGCTATATAACCTCTTCTCCAGGTTTCTGCCTGTTAAAGGAAGTTTTTCCTTGCCTGTGTCGCCTAGTGCTGCTCATGGTGGGAATTGTTGGGTTTCTGTAATTAACTTCAGAGTAGGGTCTGACCTGCTCTGTTTGGAAAGATAACTGTTGTTGTGATGTGGCGCTATATAAATAAAATTGAATTGAATTGAATAAATAAACGATTGATTGATTGATATCCATCAGCTCTAATAGGGAGTGATGTTTCTGGTTTATGGAGTCTCCAAAAGCTCTGAACAGGAACAAATGACCGGGGGGGGGGGGCTCTTCCCCTCCAGGTCATCGTAGCCCAGCACCCCGTCGTGCACGCGCCCGTGCGCCAAATGCAGTGCACGGCCCTGATGGTGGCCCCCAGGGTCAGGACCTGGACCTGCACCTGGGGGGTCTCCAGCCGCCACAGGTCCACGTTCCCCAGGCCGGGCACCCCCCCCCACGGCTCCACGCTCACGCGCGTCATGCTGCACCCAGAACCAGCGCGAGGCTTCCGGGTCCCGGTCCTGGTCCCGGTTCTGGACTCTGGTCCTTTCTCTGGTCCAGGTCCTGGTCCTGGTCCTTTCTCTGGTCCTGGTCCTGGTCCTGGT